GGAGCCCACCCGCCCCATGCCGGCCCGCCCCAGCCCCGGTGCTGGCGGCACCTGCCGGGCTGCGCGCTGGAGGCGGTGGGTGCAACCCCCCCTTATAATGCCGGGGGTCCCCACCCGCCGCCGCTCCCCATTGGACGCCCAAAAAAATCCAGCGTGTGGGGAGGAGGGGCCGCGGGCTGTTAAAGGGAAACCCAGGCAGGCAGAGCAGCCGTGTCCACTCCTCCTCCCCGGCTCCGCGGCTTTAACCTCTTCTTGCCTCCTCGGCAGCCCGTGGGACGGTGACGTCACACCCCTGCGCTGGGATGTCACCCCTGGGTGCGAAGCGGTGACATCACACCCCGCGCTGTGATGTCACCCCTGGGTGCTCTTGCTGCAGCCTCCTTCCCCGACCCCCTGCTAACGTCCTCCAGGCAGAGACCTGGGCCTGGCTCCTTCCAAGGGGGCCTGAGTCTTTGGAGCCAGCCGTCAGCGGCGGCCCATCCTGGGGGGAGCTCCTGGCCCCTGCTGCCGCCATGCCGGGGCTGACGGGCGGCTGAGGACCAGCTCGGTGCCTCTGTGCAGAGGCCTGGCTAAGTGATGCACCCGAGGCTGCACAAGGGAAGTGGTGGCGGAGAGGGAGCCATGGGTGCCCCCTCAAACAGCCCCCAGGGCTAGAGCTGCCCTTCCCGCAGCCGGTGCACGACCCCCAGAGGGGATCCATGGGCCGATGTCGGGGGGCGCCAGGCTCAGAGCCATGCTCACGTGGGCTGGAGACTTCCTGCAGGGAGAGGGCACCGAGGCAGCATCCCAGGGGCTCTGATCTAGGCCGGGAGGGAGGCTCGGACCTGGGCTGGGCTGAAGGGAGGACCCAAGGGAGAGCCACCGGGAGGCAGCACCAAGGCAGGGCTGGAAGCCAGCGGGTGGGCAAGGAGGGGATGGGTGATGGGCCACTCACCAGTGGTACAAACCGGGCCTCCGGGTGCACTGGTGCAAGGCGCAGGCTAGGGGCTGCAGCCCCTGGCATCTCCCCCTGAGCTGGCGGAGAGATGGCACCTTGCAGCCACGAGGCCGGGGTGATGGGCTGCCTGCAGGCACCGAGGGCAGGAGGACATATCATCAGATGTCCCCAGCTGCCCTGCTGTAGCTGCCCCAGCTCGGTGCCAGGTGAAGTTGGTACTGCCAAGGGAGTTGGATGCACAGACAGTGCTCTGCTGCCCCCCGGAGACTCCCTCCCCTTGCATGCCTCAGTTTCCCCACCCGTGAAAGGGGCCCTCCCGGGGCGGCTTTGCTAGTGACAGCTCCCTGAGGGCACGGGGGTTCCCGGAGCGCTGAGATCTGGCCGGAGGCCCCTGCCCCAGGGAGTCTGCGAGCCCCGCGGGAGCCCCCAGCTGCGCTCGGCGTG